TCATGTTAGCTTTTTCCTGGCTTTGAAGTAGAAGACATATACATAAGTCTTCCTCCTCCCCCAAAAAAACAGTAACAGCAAAAAGTTATGTTTTTCTTAAAATAGCCATTGGGCCCTTAAAAATAAATTTAAATGTTTTATTTCATTATAATTGGTAAATTGTGTTTAATTTTTAATCTTAATTATGTTTTTAATAATTCAAAGATATTGGCTTTTTCTGTATGATACACTTCTGTAGTGGAAGGTAAGATTTATTGTTGGGCTCTGTATGACCGATATTCTGTAAGATTCACAGATTTTCACTGGTACTTTAATGTGGTGATACCATCAATGAAGAAGTACCATATTGTATTAGAAATGAAAAATGTCCCTAATGGAATCAACACCAATGCAAATCCCATTTGTAACGCAGATTATAATAAACACCGGTTTGGTGATGGTCACGTAGGTTTCCAAAGCTTTTTCCTCCTGACTTTGTACAGTCTTATCCAGATTAGTCTTGAACAACTAACCTACATCAGTAAAAGTTGGAGAGAATTGTAGAAATATGAGGTTTAAATGATACAGCTAAAATTTTGATGTAACATGTTTACCATGTTGGTAGAAGGGTCATTAGGATAATTTGATTTAATATAACCTTCATAAATTATTCAATTAAAGTAAATTTCGTTTGTTGCTTACTTTGTAGACAACAGGTATATCATCCAGTAAGTATATTTCTTTCTTAGTCTCTCTGTGAGGAGGTATAAATTTAACTAATTTATACCTAATTTATAGTTAGCTCTTACATTAATTTAACTGATGGTTAATAAATAACTGGTTATTAATTACTAGTGATAATATATGTTGCCCTTTGATACAATGACTTCACTGACAAATTTCAGATTTCCACTTCCGCCACGTGGAATGACTTCTGGTGCTAAAGCATTTTATAAAACTATATTTACAGATAACATTGCTCAAATAGTCATATATTTTAAATCGCTGGATTTTTACAACTTCAGTATTTAAATAATTTAAAATTTTATTTAAAGTTTAACTTGGGCAGGAAAACACTGTAGGTAATAAAAGTCATCATAATTTCCTGAATCACTACATTTATTCTGTATAGCTCCAAAGTCTAAAACTAGACTTTATTCATTTATCAAAATTTTTCAGCCTCTACCAAGTGTAACTGCTGAGGCACTAGGAATATAATGGTTAGCCCAAAGAGACATGATTTCTGCCTTCATAGAATTTGTAGTCTAATGGAGGACAATAAATTAGGATAGATTTAGCTGCTGTAATAAAGAGCTAAAATTAAAGTGGCTTAAACAAGATAGAAATTTATTTCTGTGTCATGTAATCTCTGGATGTGGCTCCATTGTATTAGGAACTAGGCTCGTGGCTTTGCTGTTCCTAGCGTGTTGCCCTTATTTATGTTGTCCAAGATGGCTCACCATCTCTGTGTCCACATTCCAGTCAGTAGAAAACGGGGAAGGGGCATATCCCTTGCCTTTAAAAGTATAACTTAGAAGTGGCATAGTTACTTTTCCTTCTGCTCACATCCCTTTGGCCAGAACTTAGTCACATGGTCACACCTTACTGCAAGGGAGTCCGGGGAATGTGGTCTTTATTCTGGATGGGCTTGTATACCTAGTTAATAACCAAGATTCCGTTTCCACAGAAGCAGGAGATAATAGATAGGTATGGCCTCTGTAATATAGGGAAAACAGTTGTCAAAATAATCACACAAACATAAAATTGTAACTGTGAGTACTATAAATAGAGATGGAATTTATAGAGGGAGTTTGATGTAGATAGGGAAGTTGAAGCCTTCTCTGAGAAAGTGAGACTATTCTGAAGAAGAGTAAGATCAGAGAGCATGAGGGGGCGGGGAGGGCTAAAATAATGCCAAACGACATTAATAAATATAACTTATTCCATAACTAATAGGTTTCTAAGTGCTTGACAGTTTACATTTTTGCTAATCTCAAGATTACCCTCCATTGTACTTCCTAGTAACTTTGTTTTGCAAATGAGAAAACTGAAACTTCAAGAGAAGTAACTTGTCTTATGGCTACACAGCTTTTGAGCTGTTACATGTACCAAGCACTCTGCTAACTCTTTCTCATTTTCAATTTTACTCTTACGACAATCCCAAAAGTTAGGTCCTAATATTATCCCATTTTGCAGTTGAGGAATGTAAGGTTTGGACTTGACCAAAGTCACAGAGCTGGTAAGCGGCAAATCCAGAACTCAAACCTATATCTTTCTGACTCCAAATCTTGTGCTCCTAACCCAAGCTGCTGCCTTCTTGATAATGTATAACTGCCTTCAGTATCAGCGCCAACTACCCCCAAAGGTTTTATTCTTGGAGGTAGATTTGGGCTCAATATGTGTGAGGAACTTTCTTTTTATTTATTTATTTATTTATTTATTTATTTATTTATTTATTTATTTATTTATTTATTTTTTTAGCTGAGCCATCCTGCTACCTGTTGGCAGCTCAGCGGCTGCTCAGCTCGGGCTGGACTCGAACCGCTGTTGCTCAGAGCTCANGGGCCCTCCAGCGTCCCAAGCCAGCTCCCAACCATCGTGCTACTCGGCCAGCCCCAAATAACTATATTTTGATTTTCATAGATCTAGTGATTTTTTTGTTTTTAATTATACAAATTTTCAAGTTCCAGTTTTTGAAAATTAGAATAGTAAAATTTTCTGAATATTTAATAACTACAGTTTTTAGATTTTCATTTTATTAATTTTTAAATATTTTTTATCTTATAAAGGATGTTCATGTATTTGCTTTGGAATGCAAAGTGGACAGTGGACAACGTATTTACCTTGTAACAACCTATGTTCAACTTTGGTTTTATTATAAATCCCGGTAAGTAGTTTGTAAAGGACAATATATTAAAGTTACATTTCCTTCATCTAGTAATATTTATGAAATTAATTCAGGCTGAATTGGCTTTGATAGTTTCCGATCACATAATTAGTTACTCCTTTACTATGAGAATTGAATTGTGGAGTTTCCTTGACATGGCAACGTTGAATTATCTCCCCAGGTGTTGGGAGCAAAAAAATTGTGTGTGTGTTTTGAGTTTCTATACTACCTGTGCCAGGTGATTACACAATTCCCCCACCACTTTTCCATCAAATTATTACAAACCATGTATGTGTTTGTATAGAATGCCACCCAAATTATATTAGGACAGCTTACTTATCAAGTCATTAGCATCTGTTATTAACCCATGTTAAAGTCATAACTTTCGATGTCAACATGAATGTAACTGCAAGTGTGGGCATTGAAAGCTCACTGAAGTCAGGTTATTCCGAATGTGTTTCTAACTAATTTTTAAAATATTTCCCAATGAAAATATGAAAATGAAAAATTTTCCTAAAAACATTCATCGAATCCCAAGAATATGTAATTCTGGGATCCCAGTTTGAGAAAGTTATTTTCTCAAAATTTACTTCATGGTGACACCAAAAACAAACATAGAAGTGTTATACAATATCAAAATTATATGTGAATAAATAACAGTTAACAGTATGAAGTTGATGACATTTTTCAGTTAAATAATATTACAGAATATGATTGTTACACCTTGCTTGATGGAAACCCTTAATACTATGATACATAAACCTACGGTGAGTGGTTGTTCACTTTATCATGTCTTCACTATGTTATAGTTATGTTATTAAATCACAGTTAATATAGCATCTTGAGATACAAGATTAAGTTCTGTGATTTAAAAGATATAAGATATCAACCTAACAATCATGAATTTTTTCAATTCAGAAGAAATCTCTTACACTGCTATGAAGTCATTCCTGAAAATGCTGTGTGCAAGCTCTATTTTGATTTGGAATTTAACAAAGTTGCCAATCCAGAAGCTGATGGAAAAATTATGGTTGCTTTACTCATTGAGGTAAATTACAAACTTAGGTTTTTTTCCTTGTATCAATCTGAATATCTCTTTATTCCTCATTCATTCAAGTGAATCCAACCGTTTCTCCTCCTGTTTCTTGCCACTCTTCCTTTCAACTTTTATTTCTTAATATCTTGTCTCTGAGTAAACTTCTAAAAAGGAAAAAGGATTAGTTTGTTCATCTATTTTGTAATATTACTATATCTTGTAAAAGCTTTGAGAAAAGTGGAAGTTGGGAATTTTCTTTTTTCTTAATTATACTCGTATATTAGTTCTCTGACTTACATTACAAGTAGCTGCCTCTGATAAAGATTAGGCAAAGTAATTTTTATTGTAAAAAGTGGGTATTGAGATGAACTTTAAGAAAACTGATAAAAATAGTCTCTGAATTTTTGAGCTGGCAGGAATTTTGGAAATTATTTTATCTTGCACCATGTGATATTGTGATTCATAAGAAATATAAATTCGATCGTTCAGGTGACCAAAATATTTCTCATATATTTGGTCCTCCTCATCCACAGTTCTTGGCTCACAACTCCCCAAACCCTTGGAATTTCCTGTGTTGAGAGTGATAAAGATGTTTTTTGTTATGTGAATGAGGTGACTTTAGGAAATACCAAAGGTTGGGAGCTGGTTGCCCAGAGAACCAGCTATTATTGATTTAGAAGGTTGGAGGTTTGGAACTTTCAACCCTTGTGTCTCCCGGCATTCCACCCCACCCCATGAGGAGAGGAAAGGGGCTGCAGAATAAGTTCAATTGCCAGTGGCCAATTATTTAATCAATTATGTCTATATAGTGAGGCCTCTTTAAAAACTCAAAAAGCCTGAACTCAGAGAGCATCTTGGTTGGTGAACACATGGAGGTGCTGGGAGAGGGGCCTGCCTGGACAGGGCATGGAAGCTTCATGCCCTTTCCAACATACCTTGTCCTAGGTATCTCTTCCATATGGTTGTTCTTGAGTTATATCATTTTATAATAAATCGATAATCTAGTAGATAAATGGGTTTTCCAGAGTTCTCTGAGCCTTTTTAGCAAATTGCAGTCATGCAGTGCTTAATGACGGGAATATGTTCTGAAAAATGCATCAATAGGCGATTTTGTTATGTGAACATTTATAGAGTGCATTTACACAAACCTAGATGGTATAGCCTACTACACACATGGGCTAGATGGTGTACCCTGTGGTTCCGAGAATACAAGCCCGTGTAGCATGGTACTGTACAAAACAACAGGAGATTAAGTCAACCACAAGGAAAAGGATGCAATCAAGAGATGCAGTAAACAAAAGATGTTTGAGGCTGCTCCTGATGTAACATGGCTTACTGTTTCACAGGAACCTTTTTGTCTTAAGTAGAAAGAGTACATTCTAAAATAACAATGAAAAAGCATAGTAAATACATAAACCAGTAACATAGTTGTTTATCATATGATATGTTAGGTACTGCATGTAATTGTATGTGCTATACTTTTACACGACTGGCAGCACAGTGGGTTTGTTTACACCAGCATCACCATATTGACATGAGTAATGGGTTCCACTATGGCTATGATGTCACTAGGTGAAAGGAATTTTTCAGCTCCATTATAAT